TATGGCCTCAAACTGGGTATAGTTATGGAGAATTTGGGAGAGGAAATCTGTAGAACTTGTAAGTCTATAGAAATAGGGGATTCAGGCCAGCTGTAGTGGTGTATGTATGTAATTCTAGCACTTGGTTGGCTGAAGCAGGAAGATTGCTGTGAGTTCAAGACCAGCCTGGGCTACATAGTGATAAGATTATATCCAAAAGATGAGAAGTATAGAACAAAAGAGGCCTTTATTCTGAGAACATGGAGAGAGAAAAGCAAAACACCCCCTGACCGCTGGAGTCCAGCTTTCTCTCTGGTGGACACGTGGCGTGGCATGGGGGGTATATAAGTAGCCTCGGTTTGGGGTGGAACCTAAGGGGGCATAAGGGATGCACAGGTAGCCCATTGGTCTTAGTTTGGCGCCATAGGTAAATTCCTAGGGGTGGGGAAGATGGAGTCACAGGTAAATTCCTAGGGGTGGGGGAGATAGGAGCTCCTTGGTTCCACCTCTAAGGCTTTACCAGCTACAGTGTCATGTTTGGGCCAAAACTCACATAGTAAGCTCAAGGCCAGCCTGAACTACACAATGAGATCCTGTCTAAAAAAAAAAAAAAAAAAAAAAAAAAGAGGGGCTTCGATATATTGGTGAAAAATGACAGCTCTTTCTTTCTTTTTTTTTTTTTTTTTTGGTCTTTTTCATTTTTATTGGTACTGGGGATCGAACTCACGACCACCTCCTTGCAAGGCAGGTGCTTATGCCGCTGAGCTAAACCCCCAACCCCAACAGCTCTTTCTGTAGAGCAATAGTGACAGCCTATTCATAGGTGACAGTGATGGAGTTGTAGCCCATCCACAGGACAAATGCTGTTTTCCAGGTGAAAAGAGATGATTTATTTTCAGGCTGTTTTTTTTTTTTTAAAGCCCATTTAAAAGGTAAAAGGGAATGGTCCAGGCTTTCTGTGTCTCTAAGAACCTTAGAAAATTTTCACAGGGTCTGTGTCTTGAAGCTACAGATTTTATTAAAAGTATAATTTTATTGTCTATTCTTTTTTTTTTTTTTTTTTTGGTACCAGGGCTCGAACTCAGCACCTCACACTTGCCAGACAGGTGCTTGTGCCACTGAGCTAAACTCCCAGCCCCTTATTGTCTATTTTCTGTTTGTCTAATTTTCCTGTCTTGCCTCACCTCTATTCCATTGAGTTCCTTCAAGACAGGCCTGGCTTTGCTAACCTTAGCACCTAACAGACCGTGCGTGCAGTTTAAGGAGCATGCGCAGAGAATGTGTGCATTGTATAGCAGCATTCTGCAGTTTTAACATACTGACACAAATGAGCTCATGTGGAGCCATATAATTACATACCTTACCTAACATTCATTGCTCCTGAACAAAATATTCTTTAATGACAGTACCTGTACTTACTGTAAAGTCAGTTATCCATTGTCACTGTGGTGATTGAGTCCAGGTTTAAACAATCTCATTTTTTGCCTGATACACTAAGAGAGTTTGAGGAAAAGCAGATTTCTTTAAAATACCTCAGCTGGAGGTGGTCCCTCGGGGAGTGGCTGCATGGAGCTCAGGAGTGAGTCTTCCCAGGGGACCTTAGCTGGTGGTCTCACCAGTGCCTGTTTGTGCTTTCCTGCAGGCAGGACTGCAGGCTGGGACTAGAAGGGGCACACATATGGTACTGGGGAGCAAACTTTCAGTTCTTGGGCTCACGGAACTGAAGAGCCTCAGGTCACTTGGCTCAATTTCTACCTTTAAGAAATAGGAAAAGAGTTTCAGTATTTTGCCTAGGAAACTTCAAAAGTCCATCCATCAATCTTGTTTTCCCTTCTTCAGAGGCCACCATTCCCTACACCAATCAAAATGCCTTAAAAGAATTCTCTCTGTTTCTGTCTCTGTCTCCTCTCTCTTGATGCTGTCATTTGAATCGCATCCTCTGGGTAGATGATTTTTTTTTTTTGTCTTTTTCGTTTTTATCGGTACCAGGGATCCAACTCATGACTGCCTGCTTGCAAGGCAGGCGCTTATGCCGCTGAGCTAAATCCCCAGCTCCGGAGATGTTTTAATACTGCTCTCTTGCTATAAAGAAATTCATGGATGACATATTCTGGCCCTTAGGAATTTACAAACCATAACCAGGAGTTTAACAGTGATTTGCATATGTCAGTGACAGTCAAGTAAAAAGAAATAGAACTTTGTTAACAATCAAGTTTCATTTGAAGGTCAAGCCAGACATTGCCTTTTTTTTTTGGTACTGGGAATTGAATGCATGGTTTTCATACTGAGGAACATGGCCAAAGCTTTTAAATTTTGAGTCAGGGTGTCACTAAGTTACTATGTTGCCCAGCGTGGGTTTCTATCTGTGCTCTTTTTGCCTCAGCCTCCCAGAGTGCTGGGATTATAGATGTGCACCACCACATCGAGTTTGCTTTTGCTTGAATTGTTGAGTTCAATTTAAAGTTAGGGAAGGATGCATGGGAAGGGAGGAGGAAATGAAATGCTGTTGCCAAGCCCTTCCTGACTTCCCAGATGACTTAGCTCAACCCTCACAGTGTGTTAGGGAGGTAGGGTTCTCATTCCTACTTTTCTGGGTGGATACTGAGGACCAAGGAGTCACTCAGGTTATTAGTAGGGTGGAACAGGGGAAGGTTCAGACTCAGGTATCAGCATGATACCAAGCTGCGAAGAAGCAGGAAGAGCCACTGGCATTGTGAGTCCTCATTATTGATCTGAAAGATGTGCAGTCTTAAACTTGAAAATAGTCACCTGGTCCAAACTCCTCGTTTGTAGATGGAGCAGCCTAAGGCCAACCAGTAGAGCAACTTCCTGCAGCTAAACTAAACGAAGAGAGAGAGAGAGAGAGAGAGAGAGAGAGAGAGAGAGAGAGAAAACAGAAGGAAGTATAGGCTGCTGGATGTCTTGTGCTCTGGGTGAATGATTTGGGGATGACACTGCACAATGTACATACCATTTTGCCCCCTGATTGATATGTTCTGAAATTTATTTTTATTTCTTTCTCTTTGAAATAAAATGGATTTTCAAATGTGACATTTTATCTCTGCTAGTGAAAATGATCCTTTCTGTTCGGGGAAATTCTTGTAACCCACAAACGAACCCCCAAACTCGAGTTCAAAAAATGGGGCAAAAAACATATTTTAAAAAGCAGCGCTGAGTGAAGCAGGTTCAAAGAGACTACCAGGAAACTAAAAACTCTATCGAAAACTGACATAACAGCTTGAAAGAAACTAAGGACAGACTATTTGAACTGGAGGGCAGATTTGTAATATGGGAGAATGAAGTGAAAAACTTCTTAAAAGTAACAAAGAAACAAACAGCAATAATACAAAGACTAGAAGATGATAAGAGGATCCATAACTTAAGAATTAAGAACATAAAAGAAGAAGTAGGGACACAAACAAATGAGCTACAAAAGCTACTCACAGAAATAATCCAGGAGAATTTTCCTAATTTAGCAAAAGGTAAAGATACTCAGATATATGAGGCATACAGGACCCCAGCCACCTACAACCCAAACAGAGCAACACCCAGGCATATAATAATCAAAATTCCAGAAATTCAATACAAGAACAGAATATTAAAAGCTGTCAGAGACAAGAAACAGACCACTTACAAGGGAACACCCATCAGAATTACAGCAGATTTCTCTGCACAAACCATCAAATCATGAAGAGCGTGGGGGGAAATAATTCAAGCTTTGAAAGATAATAATCTCCAGCCAAGATTGAGATATCCTGCACAACTATCCCTGGAAATTGATGGAAAAACAAGGTGCTTCCAGGATAAAGAGGGACTAGGGGAATTTGCAACCACCAATTCAACTCTACAGAGAATACTGCAGGATATTCTAAAAAAGAAAAATACAAAGAATCCAGAAATAGTGGCAGAGAGGCCACAATGAATGGAGCAGAAAACAAAATGGAGAAGACAAACTGACAACTAATGACAGAAAAAGAGCTCAACAGAAAAGAGGCAGAGAAGATTGGATGATAGGAACAGCTATTTTGGAGAAAATGACGTCTTAATAGGTAATACTGATTTAGTATCATCTTGTTTTGAAGTCTCATCAAGCTTTTGTCCTTCTGTCTCCATTGGTCTAAACAGGTTGTATCTTATTGGATTTTATTATGTACGATAGTATAAGCAAAAACTTTTAAAGACAAAGAGATTATACAGAAACCATGTTCATTTTCTGTTAGTTGATTCTAAATACCCTGTAATGCTGTCATTCTCTTAAATGGTTTTGCATTGTTTTGATATATTTGATGCTACAGTATATGAAGTTATACTCAAAGATTTCAAGGAAAGAGACAATATGGTAACTACTTTTATGTCAGGATTATCTTGTGGTGAAACACTATTCTGCTTAAATGGTTATGCTTTGATCTGCGCTGTTTTGCTGTTATGCCCTCTTTTATCTCAATTTCCACTTCATTATTTACTTTTTTATTTTTATCCTTTTAATTAAGGGAAAAATAAATAAAAACAGCAGGATATAATATAGTAACCCACTTTGACTTTCCATTATCTTGATTTAAAGTCCTGTATTACTCTCACCATCTTGTTTTTGACTGATGTCCCCCTATTCTGTTTTGCTTGATAGTACCAGGTTTGAAAGTTTAGGCAACAGCTGTGAAGATAATGAGATTCATTATGACGCCCATTCTCATTGACTTTTATCTACTTTTGAAGACCTATAATGTCTCCAATATTTTGGTTTTGTCAGTTTTGTTCCTTACTGTTTTGCTCAATTTTATTATAACTGATGATATAGGCAATTCTATTAGAGATAGCGGGAAGCATTATGGTAACCATTATTGATCAACTTGTATTATGCTTTTACATTATCTATTATGTCCACCCTTTTGATTTGATTGACTCTGTTCTGCTAGGTCACATTTGGTTCTACTCTCTTCCAAAAAAGTAATAAGAACTGTGGGAGCAACAAAACCCAAAATGTGTAATTGTCATTGTACAAAAGAGAGGAAAAGAAAGTGCTCTAAACGATATAACTGCATGTATATTTAAGTGTATAAGATAGAAAATGATATCACTGAGTTTTATTGGATCATTGAACAGAACTGTTTGCAGTCTCACTGTTGGAATTTCCACTTTACAAGCTTTAATTTTGTGACTTGAACAATTATTTCTAAGATGACAATATGTAATCCAATAACGAGTGATTTCCTACAGTTTATTTTTTTCTGTAAATCTGTATAACTTGTACCCTTTCTCTGCTTTTTTTTTCTCCTTAAATAAAACTTAAAAAAGAGAAAAAAAAAGCAGCGCTGATTTATTTTATCCTGGGCCCAGTGACACAGTGCAGTTGGAGTTTGCAAAAGCTGTGTGTCGCTTTGAAACTTTTCTAGCCCTTTTGTAGATATCACAGTTTATGAAGTAAAGGAGTTATGGGCGTGGATCAGGAAATCTGTTCTGTCAGCTTATTTTAGCACCACATCTGTTATTTGTAGAGGGCAACAATGGTTAACATATCAATTAGTTTAGGTTTCCAGGGATTTACAATTCTTTATAGAGGGGAGCATTGGTTAACATATTAATTAGGTCACCCAGAGTGGGGAAAAAAACACATACAGAACAGCACGGAGGCCCTACAAGTACTTTGGTCATATATAAACATAATGAAGCTCTTTTTGCTAGTGTACAGCAGAAATCTGTGTGTCCTGTCAGCTTTAGGGTCTTGTATAATGAAGTCAATCTTGTCAGGCCAAGGAAATAAAATAATTGCTTATTGTAAAATAAAAAAAAGAAATAAAAAATGGATTTGAAAATCAATCAATCGGTAACTCAATCAGTGTAGGCTGCTGGGACCAGCGCAGGCCCAATCCTGACAGATAGGAACTCTGTAGGGAGTAGAGAAAATTCTTCCCCTGCAAGAGAAGGCAGAAGAGTGGCTGTTTTTATTCCCACACTTCAGGGGAGCATTCCTTTATTCATTCACAGTAATTTCCCAAAGATTCTGAGTCCTGCTATTTAGGCTGTCACCAGGCAGCGCCTTTTTTGCTTCAAGCCTCCATCCTTCAAGGTGCCCCACAGTGCACCCAGGGAGCACCACAGCATCCACTGTCACTGTCACTGTCACCACAGTTACCACCCGGCCACTGCATCTTTCCAAAACTTCCTCCCTCCCAGTTCTCTGCCCTGACACAATCCTTTCCCAGGCATAGTCTTCACACTAATATATGTCCACAGTTTTTCTTTCATAAAGTGATTTCATGGCCAGCTTTTCACTTGATCCTCCTGACACGCTAGTGAGGCAGGCAGGGAAGCGATTAGTACCCATTTTACAAGATAGGGGACTGAGGCCGCCCCTTGACCCTCCAGTGTCCTCAGGGAGCATTTGCAAGCCTCAGCCTGGAATGGACCAGCAGGGTTCCTTTGGCACAGGCTCCAGATTTTCTGTTTTGTTCCTTATATTCCTAGAATCCCAGTGGCTGGCTTGTTACCAACAGGCAGCTGCTGGGACGGCTGCAGCCCCGGCTCTTGTATCCGTGATGCTCCTCCAAGCACTTAGTTGGTTTCCAACTGAACTCTGTCCCACAAAGTAGCCTTTCGTGATTGTTTCACATGACTTTCAGGGAAGATGATCTTGCAAACTTCCTTTTTATTCAAATAGATCTGTTTTGGTTTATTTTCTCTTGCCTAAATGTTAGGCACCCATCCCAATGCATTTCACAAATTAATATAATTTATTTCCCATCATGTCAGTGCAAAACAAAGTATTCTTAAGACAAAGCACTGCAGACCAGAATGTTCTTCTGGTTCTATTTTTGAATCAGTAATAATCACGCATTTCTGTAAACATGTGTCTGTGCAGGAGTGGATCCACTGTGTATCTCAGCCTCAGCTGGCCTTAGTAAGGTAATTACCATGTGGTCTTCTCGTCTTGTTCAAAACGGAGATTCCCACAACGTCTGGGCTTTCATCAAGGCCCGTTGCAGCTGCTCATAGGTTACAAACATCATCACATTCCAGCTTCCCAGTCGCAGAAAGGAGGGGGTAAACCTGATGAATAAAACCAGCCACAACATCAGAAGCTGGCTAGCAAATAGATCCTTCCGCTCTCTTCTACACGTATTAGTGCTGAAGGACCAGACCATCAAGCACTTCTTCCTTCCTTCCTTCCTCCCTCCCTCCCTCCCTCCCTCCCTCCATTCCTTCCTTCCTTCCTTCCTTCCTTCCTTCCTTCCTTCCTTCCTTCCTTTTTTTGAGACAGGATCTCACTATGTAGTACTGGCTGGATTTAAACTCAGTATGTAGCCCAGGGTGGCCTTGAACTCATGGTGATCATTCTACCTCAATCCCCCACATGCTGGGATTACAGGTGCGTACCACCACCATGCCTGGTTTATCATGAGCATTTTCTGAGATCCATTCAGTCTTGGTTTTCTCTGCTGAAGGGATTTAGGCAGAAGTTGGCGGCAAGAAAGGAAAAAGTCCTAACACCTTGAGGCTACTGTGTCTGGCAGTTAATTCTCACAGTTCTATATGATAGCTGTAATTTTTGCTGTGTTTCTTTTTTTAGAAACCATGGTCCAGGAGACCAGGAGCTCAACCCAAAGCACACACCTAGCGCATAGCAGCTACGCATTTCCAATGTGAGGTCTGACCTGACTCTGCCCCAGCGGTGGGCTTTCTGGCTTATTCATATCTTGATTTGCCACATCAGAGGAGGCCTCTACTGGGACAGGGAGGAGTGGGGTCACAGTATGAGGGAGACGGAAGGGAACCAAATTTAGCTCAGTCCCAGGGAGCCCACCTGCGTAGTTGCACAGTGAGGAGATAGTCCCCCACCTTGGCTGTGCTTCGAAGACGGGAGGAGGGAGGAGCCGGTCACCTGGCTGCTGCCCTCCTCTCAGGCTCTCTCTCTCTCTCTCTCTGTCTCTCTCTCTCTCTCTCTCTCTCTCTCTGTCTCTCTCTCTCTCTGTCTCTCTCTGTCTCTCTCTGTCTCTCTCTCTGTCTCTCTCTCTCTCTCTCTCTCTCTCTGATGTCCCTCCTGGGCTCTTTGGCCCCTGCCAGACTCACAGTTCCTGATGACTCCTGGCCCTCGTATTCTGTGCCTTTGCCCATGTTGCTCCCTCTGCTTGGACTGTCCCCTACTCACTTCCTTGCCTGACCGCTGCTCTTTTCTCTGCAGGGCTCAGCTCAGGCCCCACAACCATGTAGTGTGGCCTTTCCCGACCCTCGGCAGGGACTGCAGTCCTCTGGCAATTCATGTGAACTCTGGGTTCAAATCCTAGCTTCATCAGTTTCTAACTCTACAAACTTTGCACAAATGACTTCATCTTTCTGAGCTTTGGCTTCCTCATCTTTAAAATGAGGCAGTCTTGCTGTGTAGCCCAGGCTGTCCTCGAACTTGTGGTGATCCTCCCACCTCAGCCTTCCGGCTATCAGCATGTATACGATTGTCATGTGAATTAAACAAGTCGATGTTGGATGGTACACAGCCTAGAACCCAAATTAGTCAAGACTTAATATCTCCCTTACTTATGTGCTGCTGCTCTGTGAGTGAGGGGCAGCTCAAGGCCTGCTGCCCACAAGGGACAGTATAAACTAGCAGCTACTACAGCTGAAGGTGGTAACAAGAGAGACGCTCAGCAGAGCAGTCTGTCCAGGGAAAGACGGTTTTATTATGTCATCTCCAAACTTGAGAACCTACAGTGGCCCTTGTTTGCTTGCTGGATTCACTCTAACGTTGGGTACCAGAAAAATATCTGTCAAAGGCATCAGTGGTGGGAGGTAAGAGGGCGAAGCAATTTTACCAGTGGGATAAAGAGCTACATCTTAGGTGTGATGTCAGATGGTGTGCAGTTGAGCCATGGCACTCTTAATTTTAATTTTTAATCTTAGACAAGTTACTTTTCTGAGGTACAGTCTCTTCCTCAGCCCATGTGGGGCCTACTGGCTGGTTCAGGAGTTGCTGAGATAATTTAAGCAAGATGTTTAGTGCAAGGCCTAGTGCATAGAGACCCAGCCAGCAGGGTGACGGTAAATAACATACATTACTGAGCGCTTGCTTGGTGCTAGTGATCCAGTGAGATGAAAGATAGATGAGCCACCATCTCTCTTTCAGATAGATGGCTCTAAGGAAATTGTACTCTAGCATGGTGAATAATTTAAACCTATAAATACTGTAATACAAGGTTGGAGGTGATAAGCACCATAAAAAGGCTATCAATTGGTATCACCCAAATTGACAGGTGACATTATAGATGTGTTAGGCAGGAGGTGGCATCAGAATACTCTGGCAGGATGGCTAAGATTCAGAGCGTACAGGTGGTGAGGAAAAGGCGTTCCAGGCAGAGAGAACAGCAAATGCGAAGGCATAGAAAACACAGTGTTGGCGTAGTGAGTATGGCACTTCTGCCATGAATGTGGCAATTATTAGTCATGGTAGTAGACTCTGGGAGAGTCTTGGGATTACTAATCACCTTTTTCTCCTCCCCTCCCCAGAGTGTTCGGGGTTAGACCTGTCCTTTTACCTATTCTTAGACTCCTTTTCCTCAGTATGGATCCCCTAACTGTCCAAATCAGGTTTTGTTCAATTTTTTTTAACTTTCATTGTTCTTTACATTTCTTTGTGACATTTGCACTGTTAGCCACTGCATCCCCAGATGGATCAGTGGCAGCTACTCGAGATAAAAACGCCTGAGCTTTCAGGGAGGGAGTGTGGAGGCGGGAGTGGGAGGCTCACCCCTTGTAGAAGGCTGTGGGCCCTTCCTGGGCCACCATCTTCAGCATACAGTGCAGGGGGTTGCGGTACTGGCCTGGGGGTGAGTTCATATACCGAGTCTTTACCACATCCACTGGGGAGGCCACCACTGTAGCACAAAAACCGGCTCCAAAGGCAGAGACAAAGTGGCAGGGGAAGTTGTCTGTGGGCAGGGGAGGGAGGAGCAGATGTCAGGAACTGAGTGGCTTGGGCTCTGCTCCATGTGCATTCATTCCCTGTCTCCATCTCAACTTTGATCCCTTTGTGCATAAGATAGATTGCCCATCTCTCTCATGGTCCCCAGGGCTGAGCTCTTGATAAGTCCCAGAAAACTAGAACAGCAAGTTAGAAGGCTTTCCAGCCTAGCAGCCTCGTTTAGGAAACTGAAATCAGAGGGCAGAGATCTTAACTTGAAGATGTGTTGTGAGAAGTGATGCTGGTCTTGGAACCCAAGGCTCTGGCCTCCAGCCCAGGCCTTTCCACTCATCACAGTCCTGTACTGGGCCCTGCTCCTCTCCCAGCTCCTGCTAAGGCTCAGTTGCCCTTGGGGGGTACACGCCCTGTGCAGGGAGGGCTGCCTCCCTGAATCCTAGGGCCTCACCGGTTAGTAGGCAGGAGTCAAGCAGCTTCTCCTTGATGATGTCATAGGTCACCATCTCAGCACAGTTGACGATGGCATTCCTTGTGATGTTGGGCAAAGTTCCTGTTAGAAGGTGTCAGGGGCTGTTGAATGGAGAAGTGGTTGTCTCTGCTGCAAGGACCCAGCTCCAATTTGGAGGGTGTCGTATTGCACTGCAATGGTTTCAGCCAGGGGAGCCCACCCGAACTGAGAAGTCCTGCTTTACAAAGCAGAGTTAGGCAGGAAAGAGTCCTGTCTCATCTTTTGTCCTAGCGAAGGTGGTAGGGAGGAACCAGGGGTACCCAGCCAGAAAAGGAAGTGATTTCTAGAAAAGGGGAGCCAGGCCCTTGGGGTAGTGACAGAATGTGGTACTGGCAGGTCCTGAGGAGAGTGGCGTCACGGAGGAAGGGAAAGGCTGACGGGTTCCTCCAGCAAGGCAGTGCGGAGTCGGTGCTGTGATGCAGGTGTGTGGCCCTTGTACTTAACAAAGCCCCTGTTTCTTCTGCAAGGATGCAGACATCGCCTAGTGCATATGCAGGAGCGATTCCAGCATCTCTCAAAATGGCTATCATGTAGACACACAGGTGGCACAAAAGTCTTTGCTCCCAGGAAATGCCTCTCCTCACTGTACCCCTTGCATCTGTGCTCCTTTGGTGCCTGTTTTGGTTCTGTGACTGTAGAAGGCTCTTGCCTGCCATCTCCACACACCTAGAGCCCACTGAGCCTGAAGGCCATCTCAGATGTCCCCTTCACTCTGGAGCCAGCATGGTCCTGCCTGTGGTATAGCAGGTGCCTGATGTGTCTTATCTCCTCTGTCATCTGAATGTACCCTGGAATGTAAAGTGTCATATTGATTTCTGTCTTCCTTGCAGCAGCGTGCAGTTGCACATGGTGAAGTGTCAGTAAGTTGGACTGAATCTGCTGCCTTGTGGTGGGTATGTGTGGGTGGGGAGGGGGTGCAGCCTGTGTTTGGGATGTTCTTATGGCAACACTGCAGTACATCACTCTGGGAGCTCCCTCCCTGCTCTGTGCCCTGCCTGAGGTTCCCTGAGCCTACCTTTCCACAGACCCCTGATTCCCTCCTCCTTGGCGATGGTTCTGTAGGCGTCCATAGTCCCACTGTATTTCCTGTCGCTTTCTGGCCCTAGGCGTGTGCTGGCCTGAAATCGGACCTTCACCACATCCGTGGGCTGGGCACATGTTACTGCCATGGCCCCCGTGGTGCAGCCTGCAAGAATCCGGATGGCGATGCTGGCGTCTGGGGAAGGTAAGAGAGCTTGTTCTCCAAGCTGCCCTGTGATTGCCCACACTCTTACCCCACAGAAGGGCCCAGGGGTGTCCCTACCACCACCAGCCTCCTCCTGGATGTTGTAACAGCTCCACACATCCCCATTGTGCCTGAGTCTAGGCTGCTCTAGGGTCCTAACTCACAAGTAAGCTTGCTTCCTCTGCCCCCTGGTGTTGTCCATGGGGTACCAGGCACTCACGGTCTGCTCCCGTGGGGGTGTAGAACTGCTTGACAGAGTCATAGAGGCCGATGCGGATGGAAGCGAAGCTCATCTGGCGGTGCAGCCCAGCCACCAGCCCATTGTAGGGGCTGCGGAGGCCCTCAGTGCGCACCATGGTCAGGATGGTGCCCAGCACGCCGCGGTACTGCACTCGCTGGGCTGCTAGGTTCTCTCCTTGGATCTGGGGAGTGATCACAGTGGTTGAGGAGCTGGGTAGTGGTAGGAAAAGGCTGTGCACCGGGGCCCTGCCTGGTCTGGACCTGCTTGACCGTGCCTTGAGAACAAGCATGTCCATCACATCAGATTGAGGTGGTTTTTTTTTTTTTTTTGGTCTTTTTCCTTTTTTATCGGTACCGGGGATTGAACTCACAACTCTACACCTGCAAGGCAAGCACTTATGCTGCTGAGCTAAATCCCCAGCACCCAGACTGAGGTTTTTGCAGCACTTTACAATTCTCAAAACAACACTGTATATTCTGTGGTGTTTGACCCTCAGGGCAAAGCAGAGATGTGGATGTTTTTCCAATTTTACAAATGGTTAGTGGTTTTCCCACAGTCACACAGTTAAATCCTTACCTGTGTTTCACATTTTATGCTTTACAAAGCAGGGCTAGGCAGTAAAGGCCCTGTGACATCATACCAGGGCATTTAGGTTTTCTTTTGTCCTGGGCGGTGGGGGGGGGGGGGAGGCAAGGAAGCGGGGGAGTGAGTGGTCTCCCCAGGGCTCTGTGTGAGGAAGGGCACATTGGCAGGTGGCCTGGGCATGTGGAGAAAGTGGCCAGGCCCTCCTTTGATGTGAACACTGACCCTTGGCCAAAGGGCACCTACCTGCAAGCGGACCTTGGCTGTGTCCAGAGGAAATGTGAAGAGGTCAGCCACACACGCTGCAGTGCCCGCTCCCAGGAACTTTACGGCTGTGGTGGGAGGGACTTCTGAAGGCTTCAGTCCAACCATGGTCCCGGAAAGATTGGCCAGGCCTTCAGGCCCAGCAAAGTCCAAGGAGAGAGGCTACTTCAGTGTGGGGAGGAGGCTGCAGGAGACAGGCCAGGGGAGGCAGATGGGCCTGTGCTGTCCAGCCCTGTTCCATGTCCAGGCGCCCACAGGACTGGAAGGAACTCCTAAAGCAGACAGCCTAGCTATTTCCACACAAATGCCCTGAGAATTCAGCTTATAAAAATAAGTCACTTTTCCCTCCCGCATATCGTGTAATCCTCACCCTGCTCCCTTCCCACCAGAGACAGGCAGGGCTACTGCTGGTGTCTTCATTGTATAGATGAGACTGAGGCTCAAGCAGGACCAGGTGTGGGTCTGCTACACACACCCCTGTTCTCCAGTGTCCAGCTGCTTCCTGTGATGGGCCATCTGTGAGCCTGGGCCCTTATGGTGCCTCATCAGTCAGATCTTCCTCTCCCAAACAATTGTAAGAATTCCCTCATTACTCAATGAAATTATCATTCATTTGGATCAAGACTTTCTTCCCCCAAGGATGCCTGAACACACCATTTTTATCCATAAAACAAATCATAAAACAACCCTTCTCAGCTGTGGTTTATTTTCTGTGACTGAAGACATCTTTCTTGGTTCCTGGACTCCTGTTCTGTCTGTGGTGCTGGGAGGGAGACAGGGCCTGGGTGCTCTGCAGCTAGCCCTGCTGCTGGCTCTGAGGGAGATGGACTGAAGCTCTTCCCTGGCTTGACACATCCCCCTTCCCGGCCCATCTCAGCTGAAGAGGAGGGAGTGTTGGGGACTGGACTGTGTAAGCGTTAAACTGCTCACCCCAGTGTTCTCTGGCCGTGCTGAGAAAGCTCACATTCAAGCTTCTCAAGACAAGACAAGACCCCATCTGAGGACATTTGGCTGTCACTCCTATTCCAGGGCAATAATTACCAACCTAAAAGATAAGACAATTCTCCCAATTAGCAAGATCTACTGGTTGGAGTGTCTTTGTTGTAACTTCTGAAGGCCCGCTTATTTTCATGTGACTTTTGCCTCAGATGTGACCTCCACTTCCCTGCACCCCCCAATTAGTTAAGAATCCAATAAATACTAATAGTTCAGATGTTGTAGCTTGGCATAACTGACACCATCTTGAGCCTGCATTTAACTAGTGCTCTGAATTTGACCCAGGAGAATGGAAAATTACTCAGAGTATAGTCCCATGAGGAAAGCAGAATGAGCTGCACCCACAGGAGAAAAATTAACCTGCTCAACAAAAGAAGTGGGATACAGGTGTCAACCAAAAATTAATGTAGATTCTAGCTAAATTGTTTCCAACAGGATGTCTTTTTGTGGTTCTCTGTCTAAAAGCTTTGTAATTTTCCAGTTCAGGGTCACTCGGTGAGACTGAAATGCATCCATGCAAGTGGTTGCTGAGCTCAGGTAATTAAATTACAAATTTATCAACTTGGCTGCTTGGATTCCTATATTGTTTATGAACCCACTTCACCAGAGAAGTCTTTGTCCTAGTTCCAAGAAACCTCTGACCTTCCAGGATTCCCACAAACCATTGCATTATCTCATTTAATTAATCTTTCTCTGTAAGCTCATTCACAAGATTGGGAGACTGATCAGCTCCTGAACACTGGCACCCAAACCTAGGAACCTTTTCTTTTACAAAAACTGGGACAAGTAAGGACCACCTTGAGTGAAAAAAAATTGTGAAACTGAGACAGAAGAAGGACTTCCTGGGAAGAATTTTAGAGATGTCTGCGAGGGAATGGAAAGTATTCACTGCCGTGAAAAGCTGTTTTGCATCTGGGCAAAACAGGTCAGCCGAAGAGCAGAGATATAACCAGCTACTCTGAAGCTTATTAAAATACTCAGGGGCTTATGTTGTGACTGAGAATTTATCAAAAATGTTATAAGAGGTAACAAAATATAATCTGTGATTTCCTCAGGCAGACAATTTGGATATAGATAATTGGGAAAGAACTGGAAAAATCTTAAATGGGCACTTGACAGAGGAAAAATTATTTCCCCTGAAGTCTTTTCAACTTGGAACTTAATTACATCTCTTTAAAAAATGCTATAAGATGCTGCCAAACATATCCCCTGGTTCCTGCAGGTAGGAACTTTGGGATAGAGTGAGAGAAAATTTTAAAAGGCCCCATACTGACCAGGGGAAGATAAGGGGAAAAGCAGAGAGACTTCCTTGGCCTGCACTTGTAGTGTTTGTAGAGGCTGACATAGCACCCCCAAGGCAGCCATGTGGCCACTGCCAGCATTGGCAATGACAAAGGTGATTGTGGCATAACACAGACTATGTCTGGCCTGGATCCGAAGAGCCACAGCACAACAAGCAGGAGCGACTAACTGGTGCATGAGAAGCATGGATGGGTGGAAAGGCTAGTCACGTGCAGTGGTGCAGGGCACTGAGGGGCAGGCTGTTGCCCTGGGATCTGTGCCCATGGCAGGATGGAGCCCAGGGCTGTGTCCTGGCCCAGCAAGTGGGGCTGTGGGGAGCCATATAACAGAAAAGCAGTGTAAAGGATTGTGTCAACTTGAGGAGTCTAGAAGCTTAACTAAATAATTCAGCAGTTCTGTTTCCTGGGGCTTAGAGGACATGCCCTTACTACTCTAGGATGTCATTCATTGTGTCAACTTGAGAGGTTTAGAAGTTTAACTAATAGATCAGCAGGGAGCCTGGGTCCTCACTTTCTAAACATGCTGAGCCTGTGTAAGAGTAGGGCACAGATAGTGTGAGTGCCACACCCACCCGAGGGTGGGTAGCCTGCATACAATATAAGGGAGGAAAAGAAGTTTGTTCCTCCCCTTTCTGTGCTCTTGTTGCTTTTGCCGTCTTCTGCTACTTGGAACCATTGCCTATTACATGTCACCCTGCCTTAAACCAGCTGATTGGGGCTGGGGATTTAGCTCAGCGGCATAAGCGCCTGCCTTGCAAGCAGGGAGTCGTGAGTTCAATCCCCGGTACTGACAAAAAGACAAAAAAAAAAAAAAAAAAAAAAAAAAAGAACCATGTCATTACAGACTGGAACCTCCACAAACTATGAGCTAAATATACCTTTCCTTTCTTAACTTTTGGTGTTGGGTATTTTGTCCCAGCGATGAGAGAAAAGTAGCTAACACAAGTGGCTTCTCTTCTCTGCATTAGCTGGCCACTCTGGGTGTGGTGATGTGTGCCTTTAGTCCTAGCTACGCAGAAGGTAATCCACAGTTTCATTCACAAACAGCCAAAATTACTGTGTTTCAAAAGGCTTTTAAAAATATAAATAATACTGAATTCATTAAAAAAGGTCCAACAACCCCTAAGACATATACACAAAATCAGGCCCTTAAAGTGGTCAGGACCACAAAAAAGTCTTAAAAATTATCTATAAGCTTGTCAGGATACAAAAACCAGATCTTATAAAAACTAAATGTTAAGTCTTACAGGGAAAGCTCCCACAAACACTTTTAGAAGACAAGAGCTGTGTAAGTGAAAAAGGTGTAGAGGTGACTGAGCCAGAGGCCAAATGAAAGAAAAAGGGCATGGAGTGGCCAAAATAAGATACAAGCAATGTTGATTATAGGTGAAAAGTTTCATTATTTCTCATTCTTTTTTTTGTGCCAATATTGTATACTCTGATCTTTCTAATTCTTATGAGATCTGTTATTGATCTACAAAAAAGTTCTGATTAGCCTAATTATAATTAAAAAGTTAAAAATTATAAAAGAATTATTATAATTGAATTTGGCCAACTACATCTTTGTGCACTCAATTTTATAAACAAATTGTCTTATGTGTATTTCTCTGTCTGTACTATAATTACGGCTGTTTTTCTTCTTTTTCTTCTTTTTGCCTTTTTAGATTTTTGAAACATTTGTCTATAGTTTAAGTTGGCTTATACATAAATGGCATTAAAATTAAAGACATGCTTCCACCCAGGTAGCCCACCGAGCAAAATGACGTTAGGATTGGTTTTACAAATGTAATACGTATTGCTGTCTGTATACAATAATTTGGGGAGTCTTTCATTAGTCAAAAATAATGTTAATTATTATGGTTTCATTCTCATAGGTCATCAACATTTTGTTAAAATAATTAAATAGAGATTCCTTAGCATTAGGAAAACTGTTGGCCAGGACTCCCCTTGATGAATAAAGTAGCAGTCGCCTGGAAATGTCTTATTACAGCTTTCGTTCACTAAAGAGACCTCAGCGATCTCTATAGCTGTATGGGAGACATCCAATAAATGTTAATATATTATTATGATATGTGTACTTTAGTCATTGTTAAAAGGTTAAGTTTTCTATAAATAAAACAATAAGATTTTCTCATTAAAAGATGCTTTTGGTACAAAACTAAATTAAGAGGCAAAGATTTTCATATAGCTTTGACATTCATTTTTGTTAATTTTGTTATACACAAATTTTGTTATATACAAGGCTTCTGAGTATATAGATCTTCTAATATATAAACCAGGATTATTTATGGAGATAATTTTTTTCTTTAAGAAAAAGTATCTGCCTTTCTTTTGTGCTTCAGCTACTTGTGATAAGAGATATATGTCAAATCAACATGAGGTTACAGTCAAATAATAGCCTTAAAAAAATTACTATCTCTCTCCCTCTCTCACTGTCTCTCTCTCTCTCTCCATATATATATATATATATATATGAATATTTAAGTGTATTCCAAAAATAATGTCATCATGATTGTCATGCTGAAATACTATGTGTGGCTTTTGATCTCAAGTTTTCTTTGTAAAACTATGTAATTTTTGTCTGTTAACATTCTACAGAGATTCAACTACTAAAACAACTATGGTTGGTAAGGTATAACAGTCTTATGGTTACACTTTGTATTTCAAGGTACTTGGTATACAGATAAAATTATAATGAGCTTAGTACCCTACTACAATACTAATGCCATTGATCTTTTCTTCCAAGTGTTCAACTGAAGGTTAGAGTTCAGAACTAGAAAGGTAACTAGACTAAGGGGACAGCCAGTATTTTGATCCTGGCTCTCCAACATCACCAAGGACCAGGACATGAGAGAACTTTTTCTATGAGATCCTAAAATCTTGGTGAATCACTCAACCTCCTGAGCAGGGAGATTACTGGACCCTAGAGGACAGAACTCAACAAGTGCATAGTGTGCCAAAGAAGAATCATTTGGAGAAAAAAGTTTCTTAAAATTTCACTGGAAACATCATGGTCAAGCAAGGCCATACCCATCCTGATGACTGACACTGACATAGGAGCTAAGAGGCTCTGTAGATGGTTCCAAAGTAATGCCTGAGGAGACTCAGCTGACCTTAATAGACAACAAGAAGTTAATTTTAGTTAACACAGGTATCACCTTTTTTTTTTTTTTTTTTGGTACTGTAAATCAAACTCAGGACCTTGCACTTGCCAGGTAGGTACTTGTGCCACTGAGCTGGCCCAACACAGGTCTCACGTTAACTTGGTCTTGAACACCCAGCAGAAAAGTATAAATAAAAGATGTACAAAAACAAAGTTAAGTTAATAAGGTGCTCTAATCACTAACTCATTCTGGCAGTTTTCAATTGTACAGTATGTGATTTTATTTGATCCTTCTCATTATGGGTTTGCATTTAAAGTTTTATTTTTTTAAGCTTTTAAAATTAAGGTATAAACTGGGTGTGGTTGTGCATGCCTGTAATCCCAGCACTATGGAGGCTGAGGCAGAAGGATCGCCAAGAGTTCCAGGCCAGTCTGGGCTACACAGTGAGTTGTAGGTCAGCCTAAACTACATAGCGAGACCCTGTATCAAAAAAAAAATTTTTTTAAGGTGTAACTTACAATGAATACGTGAATTTTTAAAAAATTTTATTTAAAGAAAAATAAAACAGTAAAAGGGTACAACAGAATTAAAAAAAAACAGTGAGAAATCACTAGTTAATAGATTACATATTGTCATCTTAGACAATGAATGCGTGAATTTTAAAGGGCACTCAGCTATAAAAGGAATTATACACTGACTTTGGAATGTGAGAGACAGTAAAGGAAGAGGAGATTTTCCAACTGGAGACTTAATCTAGCATCCAAGCTATACAAGGGAGGTCATGTCACTTCTGTTTAAAAAAAATACCAAAGCCACTACCAAAAGCAAAAGGCAGACAGGGACTGGGGTCACAGAACCCCAAACCTGTTGTGTGATGTTCCCAGTACTCCAGATGAAGTGGTAGTTGTGGCTACTCAGTCTTTCCTTTTATTGAGACATTTACAGCCCTTTGAAACTACTAAATGATGTGCCAAACTCTCCTAAGGGGACTTGTTGTCAAGCACAGAGCCGTGGCCTGGTGAGAAAGGCAGGGTGAGTGTCTGCTCTACTTGGCAGATGGAATTAACGGACCAAGTATGGCTGAGAGCTGTGCAGGTGGCTACAGTCAGGCTTCCGCCTCTCCTGGGCTTGTCTCTCAGTCCATATCCTTGCTTGCCTGAGTTGCTCCCCGAGAGAAGCCCAGGAAGAATCAGGCTCTTTAGGAGCATGGTGGAGAGGCCTCAGAGCTGGCTCAGCTGAAGTGATGATATTGCAAGGATGCTGGAGAAATGTCTTCCACCTGCTCCCTCCCCACCCTGCCCTTTGGCCCACAGAGACCAGCCAACCTGGGCTTCTTCCCAGCAAGGAGGCCCTGGCTCCAGTCTGGGACTGGAATGCACCGAGAGCAGCTGACTCTGATGGCACTGTGGTGGCATCTCTCCTCCAAGCCTGACATTTCCCCTGCCCTTTCCTGGAGCTTTGAGATGAGGTGGGATGTGGGGTGCTTGGGCACCATGAACCCCACACTCTGATTCAAGGGTTGGAGAGGTGCTTTGGGGCCTGTGTCCTGTAGTGTCTCTTGCTGGTCTCTTCATCAAAACCTTTGAGGACCACTCAAGTGCTAATACATTAGGTGTTTTTATTTTACTTTTGAGTTATACACTAGGGCCCAGAGAGGCAAAGTGACTTGCCTGGAACACACAGTGAGAAGTGAGATTCCTAGAAGAAGGTGTAACTCTGGGACATTCTTTGTTGTAAGTCACCGGAAGTAAAATTTTTGGGTCAGCCAGGCCCTGCAGGGGCCCCCTTCACTGTTTTGCCTATTTCTGAGCCTGGCCTGTGTCCCTGGGGAACCTTTTGTACCCTGGCCAAAGGGTGGAACTCTCAGCCAGGGCTACCCTTTGCCGTTTACTATGTTCCCAGCTTCCTTTGACCCAAACCTTCTTATAGAAGTGGCTTATTATTTGTAAGTTTCCTCCCTAGATGGGGAGCCCCCAAAGTAGGATCTATTTATGCTGCTTTCTTGAAGCCCACTACAGGGCAGGCATTTAGAGAGGCCAGGGAGGACCAGCTGAACAAAGAGCCTCAATTGCTGAAGTGAGGATATGGGACGTGAGACCAGTAACGAACCCAGGATCTTTGGTAGAAGAATTTGAGTGCCAAGGTTAGACTTGGTCTGTTGGAGAATGGCAAGTGGTAGGCACTTTTCAGGGAAGGGAATGTGACACAGTCAGCCCTGTGTTCACAGCATGCTGGAGCAGGTGTGGAGGATGGGCTGAAAGGGAGAGATGGAAGGGTGTTGCTGGAAGGTGCTAGCAAAAGCCCCGAAGCCTAACTTGGTCAAGAGAAGCAGCTGAGGTAAAGTCAGAGCAGTCCTGAGCCACTCACCAGAAACACAACGGAGGAGCACAGACTCAGGTCAAAACCCACACTGGGCCCAGGGAGGAGGCTATCATAAGAGGCACGGGCAGGCTCCTCGACCTCTTGGACTGTTACTTGAAGAACCCTGGCAACAAGCAGACCTTTGCCACTGACTGGAGAGGAAGCTGAGAGCAGAATCCTTATCCCTGCAGCTCTGCAGGGCATCTGAAGGTGAGATGTCCCAGACCCTGAGTTTGAGGGCCAGAGCAGGCAGGCAGCTGAAATGATGGAACCGAGACCGGTGCCCAGGTCTGTCAGACAACCAGGGCCCATTCTACTGTCCTGAGTCTCAACCTCAAGGAGAACTCAGGATCCCTTGAGTTGCTTATTTACAGAGCAAATCTGTCCTACATATCCTGAGTCACATCTTGGGTGGGGCCCAGGAATCTGCATTAGAAACAAATTCTTCATGGTTTCTCTGAGCAAAAGTTGCAGGCCTCCATTCTGAGACATCCATCCATGTTGTCTTTCTAACCCCAACCCCACCCTCCCTGAAAAGGCCTCAACAGCATCTTCAGTGAGGAACCCTGAAGATTCTGAGCCAAAGGAAGAAGTCACTTCATATTTGTGCCCACCAGAGGCAGCCAGCTGGGCAAATGAGTCCTGGGTGAGTGACACAGGTGTGGCATTCAAGTCCCTCACCAGAGTTACAGTTTCCTCATTTTGACAAGGTGGGGGCTGGGCTCTAGCTCTCAGGTCTCTCAGCTGTGGCTAGTCCCTGACGGCTCCTGGCTACCTCTGGGAGCCTTCATGAAAGGGAGAACAGGGCCGGGATATAGCTCAGCAGCTCAGCAGCACAAGCCTCTGCCTGGCAAGCACAAGGTCCTGAGTTTGATTCTTCATAAGGGGGGGGGGGGAGGAAGAGAGAAAGACAGAGTGTTGGCGGGGGGAGGGAAGGGGAAGGAGTCTTACCTGGGAGTCCAGCCAGGGCATGCAGCAAAGATCTATGGCTCCTTAGGGTCCATCTCAGGGGCGACACAAAGATCTATGGCTCCTTAGGGTCCACCTCAGGGGCAGCGCAAAGATCTATGGCCCTTCCTTGCCATAGATCCTTCACAGTTGTGTCTGCTGCCTCTGGCCTGGCACTGTCTTATATGCCAGTTGACCTGAAACCTAATCCTATAGAAGCTTCTTGACAGTCTGATCACTTGATGAGAAAGGCAGGCTAGTGAGGGCAGTAACTTCCAAATCTGGTTCAGCTCCCTTGACTTTAAAAGGAATCCTTTTTTTTTTCCCTTTGGGTACCAGGGACTGAACTCATGATCTTGGGCTTGCCAAGGCTCTTAAGCTACTGAGCTAAATCCCAGGCCCGCTCCCTTGACTTTAATAGTGTTTCTTCTAGCAGCTAAAGTAGGGCTACTTCAGTGTCAGAGGTGTATGGGGGAGGATGTGTGTGTGTGGACCCTTCACCTTTGACATCCCCCATGATAGAATGGGCAGGCTGTTCTCTTAATAACAACAATTGGTGCCTACTATGTGGAAGATAAATTTAATTTTGTTGGTAACAAGGACTGAACCCAGGTCTTCACAGATGATAGGCAGGCACTCTGCTACTGAGCTATACCCCAGCCCTACGCTAGGTATTTTATAAATATTACTTCTATTTTTTTAAACATATCTATGAAGTCCTATTAGGATTCTAAGATAACAGATTTATTAAGATATAACTTACCTGATAAAACATTTTCTTTTTCCTTCTGAGACTGGGTCTCACTATGGCTTTGAACTTACTATCTAACCCAAGCCTCCCAGGTGCTGGGATTACAGGCATGTGCCATCCTGCCTGGTTTTACTTACTTATTTTAGGTACACAATTTAAATGATTTTAGTTTACTCAGAGTTGTACAACTGTTTCCACAATCTGTTTTACATTTCCCTCACTCTTCAAAAAAAAAAAAAAACAAAAAAAAAAAACTCCATACATCTTAGCAGTCATTTCCCTCCCCCCTCCCCAGCCCCAGGCAACTAGTAATCTGCTTTCTGACCCTAGATTTGTGCATCCTGGACATTTCATGTAAGCAGAATCATACAAGAAGAGCTTTATAGTGACTGAATTCTTTCACTTGGTACAGGGTGTAAGGTACGGTACAAAGTGCGGCAGAGACCACTCATCAGGCTTTTGTGAAAGCAGCAAGGCGTAAGGTTTAACACCAGGGTGCAGGCAGACAGGCAGAAGGCAAAAGGGCCATCTGTAGGGAACAAAGAGAAGTAGGCCTTTTTCATGGGAATTTAGAGAAGGCGCGGGATATTAGGTGGGAAGATGTTAAACATCCATGCTCAGAGTTCTCTGGCTGTCTTGCACCTCAGTGGGCAAAGTCCTTGGGTGTTAAGTGTAAACTTTTGTTTCTAGAGGTCTAGAAATCTGCAAGATTCCTTACCCTATTTTATCTCTTTTACATCATCCTGGGGACAGCCTCGGTGCTGAGCTGAGTCTCTGCTGAGAACAATGTCTCTGCTGGTGAACAGCTTGGGTGCGGGGAGAATTGTGCCTGATTTGAGCCTTACATGGGGTGGTGTTTTCAGAGCTCATCTGTGATGTAGTACTTATCAGTATTTCACTTTTTATGGTGGCGGATCCTTTTTAAATATTTATATACAGATGAGAAAACTGAATCTCAGAGAGGACAGTGACTTACCAAGGTTGCATAGGTAGTTCACGGCAGCGTCTGAACTCAGTCTGTAAGCTCTGATATATTTGGGGGTTTATCAGCTGTGCTGTTCTCTATAGTGCATCACTTGGAGGCTTCAGCATGAACATGCAGGGGCCAAGGGTGGGAAGGGTCCCCTGCAACTACTGCAGATGCCACAGGCACTGAGAGGTGGGCTGGGCGCAGCTGAACTTGGGATCCAGCTCATGTGGTGGGGGAGGGGAGCCAGGGAGGACTGGAGGGGAAGAGCAGGGGGGGGGGAGGGAGGAGTTAGCTGGGTATGGCACAGAAGAAGGCAGCAGCCATTCTGGACTGGGGTGCAGGGCCAAGGGCACAGGCTGGTGGTGGGCTGGACCTGTCCTCATGCCTGGACCAGCTCTGGCCTCAAGAGCAGAATAGGCAGTTGCAGTAGTGGTAAAGGGAAGTGGCTTCTAGGGCTTCTGAGATCGGAAGGCTCAGAAAGAAGGTTCTAGGATCCACCTGGAAATAGTAGCTTAGAGGTGGGGGATTTGCAGAGGCTCCATGAAGGAGGGATACAAGTAGGAACCAAACCAGGGGGGCAGCAGGCCCCAGAGAAACCCAGGCAGAGGGAGCTTAGGTGGCCTGCCTGAGAGCTTCCTGAGGGCAGGTCTGTCTTCCTTGGCTCTGCCGCCAGAGCCCAGCCCCTGCTAGCAGCCCCAAAGTTGGCTGCTGTGGGCTGGCGTGCAGCCAGGCTTCAAGTGACCAGAAACACTCATTTTCACGCCCCTGCAGATGATGTGTCCAAAAGGAAGTCAGGGAGCATTGGTTAGTTCTGGAGGTGGGGACAAACACACCCTAACTCACTTCCAGACTTGGCAAGTCCCATCACCTAAGAGCTACCACTGGGGGATTCTGCTTCCTTCCAAGGGTGAGATACTGGTTAGTGTAGGCCCTGAGCTGCAGAGCCAAGGGTGTCTCTGCGCCATCAGAGGCTGCCCTCAGCCTGGGGTAGGAGCAGCCATGTCCTCTTGTGGCCTTATCCTCACTTGGCCCCATATGTTATTTACAGAAGTAGGATCTGGAAAGAATGATCTTTGCCTGAGGGTACTCTTGTACTCCAAGAGAAGGGGAGCCCCAGCTTCTTCCTCAGGGCTCTTACACCCACACAAACCCAGCATGCTGCAGGGGAGTGGGCAGGACTGACATTTCCTATGCTTCCTTCCTGTGCCAAGTGTGGGTGAAGCGCTTTCAGAGACGTCTCATTTGATTTTCAACCCTAGGAAGCCGGACTTCTTACAGTGCCTGAGCTTCACTGATGAGGCCAGAGATCCAGACAGGCTGGTGTCTCTTTTCTTTCCCAGCAGCACATGGCCCAGGGAGCCCTCCTGCTTCTCGGTGTAGCTGCCAAAGGCTGACCCAATTCTGGGCCCAACCTAAGAGCTGCCTCTTCTAAGAAGCCCTTACAATCTGCTGCAGCCCTCCCCTGCTCTGGACTGTACCCGTTCCATTCCCCAAATTCAGAGCACTTAACTGGCTGTGCCCTATCCTGGACGCTGAACCTTGTGACATGTTTAGGGATGTCTTGTGTTATGATTAATTTCCTAGCAACACAAACAGAGGCAGAACACTTAACTTGGTTGAGATTCAGTTCAACCATGAAAGAAGTATCTTAGGTCTAGCTCATGGAGTTGTTTTGAGGACTGAGTCAAACAGTGTGTGTAGGGGTGGAAAGCAGAATTCTCCATGGCAGATTCCTTCCAGCCTCGTCCAGCCACGCTGCATACTCCGCCCATCTGTGTGTCTTCTGTGTCCTCCCACAGGCCTTGTCTGTGGGAGTTGCTCAAGTGGCTGTGGTCTTGAAAGAACTACTCAGCCTGGCTTATCTACAAGTGGTGCTTGGAGGGAACTGTTCTAGAAGATTCTGCTTTCCTGACAGATTGTAAGATCGAGCAAATGAAAATAAATATAGAAAAAAGAAAAGTACTAGTAGTAAAGGAAATACGAATATGTCTTTAATCTGGACCAATCTGATATTATGGTATTTAAGAGCTCTCAGAAGTCTCATGGTGATCCTGGTCCTGTTCTAGATGAACTGTTCTGGGGTCTGAGTGGTTGCTGACCTTTATCTCTGCAGTGTGAGCATGAACAAACCCCAGCACCCCCATTACTGTGGCTACCCTAGAAAACACTTAAATTTGAACACAAATACAAATACCAACAGGATTTTATTCAAAGGCAGAAACAAAGACCATCAAAGCTGGGTAAAAACAATAAGTTAAGAGCATGGTTAGAATTTCAGACAATCAAATAGACAGTTTAAAGAGGTGATTTCCCCCTTTTCTCCTACTGATTAATTCAACACAACATAAAAGAGTTCCTATCTAGAAAATACCCTTATTCCCAAGCAAATGAAATGGAGACAGCGCTAAGCTTTCCTTGACTATGGAAGATACATACAACCTACAACCTGCCTGTGACCCTGGTCAGGCTCCAACCTTTAAGGCAAAGGTGGCAGGCAGAACGTGGGCTCAGGTGAGCAGCTGGCTGTGCTGAGGACACTGGGAAGAGTTTCTCTGCTGAAAAATGGCTGCTTGGTCCCCTAGAAAGGCTGGCTACTCGGAATCCTCTGCCTCATCGCAGTAGGGAGAGCTGAAGCGCTGGCAGGAGGAAGATTCCTCCCGTATGTGCTGACAGGGCCTCGGAATACATGGACTAGGTGGCTGCTGGTGGTTCCAGGCTGTGACAGCTCAAAGGGAAGTGAACCTGGTGCCTCCTGCAAGCCAGATGGCTGAGGAAGGGTGGCTAGGTGACCCCTTCCCTCAGCTCCTCAGGCTGTATCAGTCTGTTTTGGGGAACTGAGAAGCAAATATCCGAGCGATCCTGCGAGTTTCTTCCTCAGACAGGTTGGGAGGGAGTGAGTGAGGTCTGGGGCGACAAGGCCTCCGGGAGAAGGCTCCGCTGGTGGCTTCACTCTTGTCCTGGAGGAGAAGAAGCCAGACAGGTTAGTGCTGAGAATATGGCTCATGTTTTGGCCCTTTGGCTAACACAGATGCAGAGCCACCTGGTTCACAAAGCACTGCATACACCATCATCTTGTCAAACCCTCACCTCAGCTTCATGGGCTGGGCACATCATTTTCCCAACATTGTAGAGGGAGAATCCCCAGGTCAGGTGGAATAACCTCAAGGTCCTGAGTGGCACAGCTAAGATGGGAACTCTGGCTCACATTTTCTGTGCCCCTGGAGTAGGGGACTGTCACCTCCAGTAGAGATTTGAAGCCTTATCCTTTTTTGTATGATTTTAGAAAAATCATTGTTCTGAGCTGGAACTTTCCCTTGTGTGGGGAAAGATGCTGGTGAATAATATATTTTTTGTCTCTCTGAGGTTCTGGAGCTTTCATGCGACAGGGAGTACACACTGTTATCATCACCCCCTTTCTCCCTCCATTTTGGTGTGCTGCAGGGCAGGGTCTTGTACTGAGGAGTTCAAGGCAACACAGCAAATCCATCTTGGGCAGCTGGCTGAGAAGGGTCCTGGGGAAGAGGTGAAGGCTGGTAGGGAGAGAGCCATGCTGGAAGGAGATGGAAGTAGCTGCCACAGGCAAAGCCGGCTGACTTCACAGCATGCAGTGACCAGAAGGATAGACCTCTTCCCAGTGTCCAAATCCCACAGGCAGAGATCTTCCCCACCTGATGGGGGACGCGCACTGCACTGCTCCCAGGCACTGGAAATCATCAGCTTGGTGGAGACTACAGATCAGGACTATTTCCCCTTGTCACCTAGGGTTCTGCTAATGGGAAACTGAGGCCTGGCTAAAACTGCTCCTGGGATCAACAACTTGAATAATCCCTTCTCTCATTCATTTCTTTGGCCTTTTTACAAGGAGACAGAAATAAACAGGATTCAGTTTCCACCTTCCGAGCTCAGTGTGGGAGACAGCCATCTACCCAAAGAATTAGAAGAGCAGCCACAGTGAGACCAGGAGAGTGGGGACTGGGCAGCACTGTTCTTCAGCGTGGGTGTCAGCTTCCCTCCTCTGAAAAAGGTACCTGACAGGAAAGAACTGTGAAGGTGAAGGGAGCACAAGCTGACAGGCAAGTGGTGCTCGTGCTGAGCTGCACAGCAGTGTTTAGAACCTACAGCTCTCTTTTAGGCAGGCCTAGCCTAAGAGGGAAGACGTAAATCACCCTTTGTTGGTTTTCACTTCTTCCTTCTGAAATCTGGGAAGCAGCTGCATGGCCTAATACCTCAGGCCAGGGATGCCAGCGAGGCAGCCTGTGCGCTGCCCTCCCCTTCACTGGACACTTTCGCAGGGCACGGACTGGCTCCCTACAAGCAACTCCAGCTGGGACAGATCCCACATGGGAGCTTGGCGGCTGGAGACAAGTGAACAAGTGGACCATGCATGGTGATCAGAGGCTTACATCGGGGGAGGAGACTGTCTCTTGCAGCAAACGTGTCATTCATTCCCAGAATCAGTGGCTGTTTATGTGCCAGGCCTTTGGTAAAATCAAATCCTCTCAGGGTCTCTAGCACATTAAGCTTCTATATGCCTGTCTGTATCCACAAGGTCCAAGGTGGTGTTTCCTGAGCTCCTTGGGCTTTTTTTGTCTTTTTCCTTTTTATCGGTACCAGGGATCGAACTCAGGTCTGCCTGCTTGCAAGGCAGGTGCTTATGCCGCTGAGCTAAATCCCCAGCCCGCTCCTTGGGCTTAAAGGGGTGACACAAGTCTCGTTCCAGTCCTTTGGCTATAGTGCAGGTGGATCTCCTGGGTCACCAGCTGTAACTTACTTTCCATTTCTATCTCTGCTATTTCAAAATGGAAGCAGGGTGATTTTCATTTTAGAAGCTAGATAAGAAAACAGGTCTCAAAAACTTGTTTTGCTACCACAAATCCTAAAACTATGTCTTTGTTTTCTCATCTGTCAGAACAGAAGCATTCTCCATTTTGGAGAGACGTAGATGGGTCTCATCTGAAAGGCTGGAAGGGTCAACCAGCTCAGCTCATGAAATGACCACAGAAGAATGATATTGGTGATTCAACAAAACTTTCAGAAGCCTAAGATCTACTCAGTTTGATCAACTTGGATGGACAACAGGCAGACATGGTTTCTGTCCTCATGGAGGTGCTCAGGCTAGAGGAGGGACAATTGCTGATCTAACCAACAGTCACAGAGGAAGGTTTGGCACCACTGGAAAAGGAGCAACTAGTAAGAGCTGGGAAGGTCTGGTGAGGCCTCACTCAGGGCTGGGATCCGAGATAGGCAGAGTTTCAACAAAGCTGGGGGTGGGGGGAGCAGGAGCATGGCCTGTAGTTGCCAGCGGGCCCGTATCAGCCTCAGGGCTGAATCCAGCGTTGGTGGTTCAGTCAACCTCCCAGCACCCACACTCATATCTGTGTGCCCCAGGTCTGGGGAGCCAGATGGGGACAGGAGCTGGCACTGTGTACAGGGCAGGGCAGGGGTGTGGAAGGACGCAACACACACTCAGCAACACTTGATTTCTGTTAAACTTAAAACAGTTTTAAGAACATCTTGAAGGTGTAAAGTTTTTTTCTTCAGGGTTAACACCCCAAAACACACAATGCTGAAAGGGTTGAAAAGAGAAAATTGCCTAGAGCAGGGATACCCCAAAATGTACTAACTGCTCCTCTGAAATACTTTTACACTCCAGAGGTGTGGAAGGCACAAGAAAAAAGCACAGCATGTGCTCTGCAGGCACCATCAGCTTCTGGGGGAGGAAGGAGGCGGCCACATGGAAGCAGGACTGTCAAGCTGCAGGGCCCGGAGTGTCACCCACGAGGCGCAGATCCTGGAAGGCTACTTTGAAAAACATGAAGGCAGAGTTTGAACACAAGAAGATGAGAGACAGTAGGCCAGGTGAGGGTTTGTTTGAGCAAAGGTAAGATAAAAAATTTCTTTGCTGGCAAAGCCATAGCCCTGGACAGGGCTGGACTGAGGGAAGCAGAAGACAAACTTAAGTTTTTGCTATTTGGAGACAGGGTCTCACTATGTAGTTCAGCTGGCCTTAACTCACTGGGTAGCCCGGGCTGGCCTGGAACTCTCAGCACGCCTCCTGCCTCAGCTTCCAGAGTATTAGGATTAAAGGCATGTGCCATCATAACCTGCATGAAGACAAAACTTAGAAAGAGGGGCTCAGGCCTGCTGAGGGCACTCCCAAGGGCTTGGGGAGGAGCTGATCTCTAAAGGACAGGGATAGAGGAGTGTGTGGGAGGGTGGAGGGAGAAACACAGAGGGAGAGGCACCTGAGAGAGGTCTTCTTTTTTCTGGGCATTTGGATGTCCATGCCATGAAGACGGGAGGCCTCCTAGCAACAGATGTGTCTTTTTTTTTCATTTTTTTGTCTTTCTATGGTCTCTCTATGCAGTTCAGGCTGACCTTGAGCTCACGTTGTATCCTAGGCTGGTCTCGAACTCAAACTTGCAACAACCCTCCTGCCTCAGGCTCCCGAGTGCTGGGATTACAGGCATGAGCTACCACGCCCAGCTAATAGATGTGTCTTAAAAGAGCCCTTCCCAGCCTCTGCTGAGTAGAACATAAGCATAATGTGGGGCTGAAGGGGCTCCCCAAATCAAGAGGCTAGTTCTGGCCCTACTGCTTCTTTACAGAATGGTTACAATCTCTCTGGTCTTGGTTTCCTCCTCTGCCAATGGGAAGCAGTATGAGCAGATAATGCAGAAGGAAGGGTCCTGTCAACCACAGACTTAGCCTGCCTGGGGCTTCTTCTTTGGCCAGGTCCTTGGTGCAGCCTCTTCTCCGAAAGGTCTGACTGAATGGGTTCTGACCCCAGCCCATGCTCTGGGTTCCCTCCACTTCACCCCAGGTGGACCCCTGTGAACAGGCCACATGTTGCTGGGGCTAGTGGGGTGCAGGTGTCCCCAGTTACTCTACCCCTGCTTCAAGGTATCCTGGAGCCTCTCGAGGGAAAGGCAGTGGAAAGGAATTAAAGAATCACCGGTCTGTAGTCCAGTCTGTCTGTCCCACTCACTAAAGACAAAGACACTTTCTGAATCTCAATGTCTGCAATGCCAAGTGGAGCTAAGAATTTCTGTCTGGTCTTCTAACCCAGGTCTACTGTGAGGCCCAAAGGAAATGTGGCTACGATTAAGACTCAGGTCAGGTAAAACATTTGCCAAACACCAGGACTATTCTGGAGCTGACATCCACTGCAGACACCAGAGCAAAACACAGCCCTGCTCTTTCTGCCTCAGGCAGGATGTTAGGCTCAAAAAGCCCCGAGTAGAACTGGGGTACAGCACCTCCTTAAGGCGTGCTCAGTGCTAGGCCAGGCCAAGCTCTCCTCACTCCACCGTTTTCCTGTCTTCTCCTCACAGTGAGCCTTTGACCTGGGATTAGGGCTGACATTTTATTCTTCTCCACAGTAGCTCCCTTAGGGGATAAAACTCTGGCTCAGGGGCTGCAAACCGAAAGTAAACACTGCTAGGGAGACTGCTGCCTGCCTCGCTCACTTTTCACCCAGTTGGCTGGCTGCCCCCCTTTGGGGCGCTCCCAGAGCCCTCTCAGGCAGTGACGAGGACTTCCTTGATGCTAAAAGCAGCAGCAAGCTTAGCAGCCACAGCCAGAAGCAAGGGTGAAGTGGGGACAAGATACTTTGAACAGTTGGGTGTGGCTGGCACACGCCCATAAACCTAGCTACTCCGGAGGCTGAAGCAGGTGGATCATAAGCATAAGGCCAGCCTGGGCATCTTAGTGAAACATTCTCTCAAAATAAAAAGATAAAAAAGCTAAGGAGGTAGCTCAGCACCTCCTGTACTCAATCCCTAGTACTGCGAAAGAGACAGAACCAAAATAAAACACAAGACACTTTAACCAGACCAGAGCCCTGTCTCTTCCCCACTGATAAAGTAGACTGAAAGACTGGGTAGAGTGGAAGCTCACTGGGCTGCAGTACAGAGAAAGGGTAGTAGACAAGTGTGCCCACAAGTAGGCCTAGCTAGACACAGCCCTGGGGGTGACTGGGGCAGGTAAGGGAACACTGAGAAGAGTGGATTCATATGGGGGCGCTGAGGGGCCTTGGTAATAGCTGGCTATGGGCTGTGAGGTTTAGAGGAGTGAAAGATGATTATTATGCTCTGGAAGGATTAATCACATAGATGGTGGCTGAATTTCCTTCCATAAGAAATGCAGATGGTAGAAATGGTATGCAAAGTTCAAGTTTTGGACATAATGAATTACTTGTATCCCAGTGTGGCAGAATGATGTCTGTCTCACCAGAAACAGCAGAACACAAGAAAACCCAATTTAGAATCCTATAGTGGCAGGGGTAGGGATTTTTTTAAAAAACAAAGATAAGATGTATTTTCAGACACCTGAAGGTAAGAGAATTAGCTACCAGCAGAGCCACACTATGTGAAATGGCCCAAAGTAGAAATCAGGATGTGAAGGAGTAGAAAACATCAGAAATAGTAAGTGAATGAACATAAAAGATTACTTTTTTGTCTTACATTATTCAAAGTGAGGTCAATTTTAATATCATTAAGGATCCTAAACTCTTGAGATTGCAGTGCCCCTGCACAAATACAGTTCAAAATGAAATCCTGAGTTAACTGTTAAATGTGGGCAAGTCAAAGTTCTGACTTATTCCATAACTGTTTCAATGCTTTAAAAAACATCTAATTCCTGAAAATATTTTTCTCTTACTTCTTGGAGACTTACTGGCTAATATCAAACTAATTAACAGAAACAGTCTCTAAAGAATAATCTTGGCTGAGTATGGTGGTGCATGCCTGTAAATCCTAGCACTTGGGAGGCTGAGGCAGGAAGATCACTTCGAGTTTGAGACTAGCCCAAACTGCATAGTGAAACTGTCTCAAAGAAAAAAAAAATCATCTTATTTATTTTGGAATAAGCAAGAAACACTGCCATGAGGAGAATATGTACAATAGAAACCCTACGTATATTAAAAGGGGATGGTGTACAAGCAAACTTTTAGAGGCAAAATAAGACAGTAATTTTGCAGCAATAATCCTTGGCCACAAGACTCAGAAACAAGGGTATCCATGGATCAATAACAAATGGAACCAGTACAGAGCTCAATAAACAGGCTGTCGGACAGATGTCCGTGGGGGAGTATTTTTGAGTAAGGCTGTTGTGACCTTTCTTCTGCCAGACCTCACTCACTGCCACTGCCAGGTGCATGTCCCGTTGCAGAGTCCTCCACTCGCCCTCCCTTTGCTTCGCTTGAGCTCCCAGAGCACGCAGTATGCATTTCTTGTGGACTCTTGCTTTTATGCTTCTGTGCTGCCCCCTACCCATGTCAGTCTTTGCTGGCAGTGCCCTGCTCTCACACGTGTGCCTGCGCTCCCTCACGTTTCCCAAGCTTCTTGTCCGCTGCTGGGACTGCAGAATACGCTCAGTGAAGTGTGGGGAGTGAAGACGGAAGATGGCCAGGGCCGCTCTGCACTGTATAGACACATTTAGGGAAGAGACGATGACTCTACCGTGGCTGTTATCTTACCTGATCTTCTGTCACTGGTGGTGGCAAAGCTGAAGACAGCGACAACATCCGTAGGGAGGCCTCCAACTGCTGGGGAGGCAGAAAGAAGTTGGGCACAACAATGGGCTCTGGGCTGCAGTGGAGGTTAAGGGACAAAGACACCTAGAAGTCTACCTCCTTCCCAGACCAGCGTCTCCTCCAACCGCGGTTACACTGTTTATGTCTCCCTCTCTCACTGGCAGAAGCTGCCTACTCCTAGTAAGTCCCAGTCTGTACTTTGTTGGTTCAAATCCTGCCCTCTCGAGGAAGCCCTCTTCTAATTTTAGTGTACAGCTATCCCTCCTTCATGTGTGACAGCACGGTGGGACACACAGGAGAATGCTTAGCATGTCTCGATCTCAACCTGTTCCCTCAATATTGCTTATTTTTCTTAGCGCTAGGGAATGTGGCTTCCTTCAGTTCCCTGCACGATGCTGGTAGGTGGCAGGTGTTGTGTGACATTAGTGGGAGGCCCACTGGTTAAACGCTGGCTTAGAGGTGACACAGACAGGGAGCAGGTGGCCCCAGGGTACCGCCCTATGCAGGACAGAGGTACCTGGCACTAGAGGAGGGTCTGCTGCCTGGCTGTTTTCTGATCACACTCAGAAACAAAGGCTTTCCAGTGAAGGGTGTCCGGGGTACAGGCCGCCTGCCCAATTTGGATGTGAGCACCAGAAGGCAGGAACCACAGCTTCTTCCCTGTACCCTGGACTGGAGGTTCTGTGTTGAGAATATGGTGTTCTGCAAATATTTGCTGAATCAAAGCCCTAGTTCAATTTGGTTTAACTTTCAGGGTGCAGAAGCTATTGAGATGTTCCAATTTTAAAATGTTTAATAAGTTATATATGGCTTTTGATTTAAATGTTTTTTTAAAATCATTGCTCTTATATGTCTGACTCTGAACTCCAGGAGGGCAGAGATGGTCTTTTTTTTCCCAGCCATATTCTTGCCACCTAGCGTGGTGTCTGGGGTAGTCAGTGTTCAGTTGACTTGAATGAAATGCAATTTATGAGCAGTTTTGGTTCAAGTCCCTAATTTTTCTTTTCTTTTCTTTTTTGAGAGAGGGTCTAACTATGCAGTTCAGGCTGGCCCTGAACCATGTAGCTTTCTGCAATCCCCCTGCCTCAGCCTCCAAGTGCTGGGATTATAGTTATGTGGCACCACAGTTGGCTTTCAGTTCCTTATTTTTCTGTAGAGAGCTAAAGGTGGAGTGGAGGACCTGAGGGAAACAGCACTCTGACCCAAGCTTTCTCCAGAAGCACAGTCGAGGCAGAGCCTTCTTGTGCTGGTGCTGTTCTGATTGTTGGGTCTTTGGTAGTCAGCTGATGCTGGGGGGAAGGACCAGCACTGCTGCGAGGTGTCA